CCAGGGCCACCAAAAACTGCAAGGGGTGGTGGATCTGGTATAGACTCCTTAGTTACGTGGACTGGTTTTAGAATTATCAAAAGCTTTTTAGTTTTCTCCATGTAATATTGGCCAGAACCCTCATTGAATAGACATATTTTTCAATAGCCATGGCCACTTGTCTGACGGGAGCATGATAAACTGGTTAGAGTACATCTTATCAAGACTTACTAAAAAGATTTCCGCGCACAATGGACAAAATATACAATTTTTCTTTCGTTATATTGTTCTGTTTAGCTTTTAGTTCTTGTATATCTACATACTTACCACTGAAATCATAAATTTGTAAACCTTGGACTTTTCATTATCTTCAAGCGTGTTTTAGAATTACAGGACGTGAGTGTGTTTTTCTTTTTTCTTTTTTTTCTTTTTTTTTTTTTTTTGTAGTACGTAGACGAGTTAAGCTCTTTCAACTCTGCAAAAAATCTATTTTCCAGGCATCGACATGGTTTTATGAGGGAGGTAAGACATTTTAGCGCCTAAGGAACTAAATTAAAAGAATATTAAGTGATAGCTTCAGTAGTTTCTTAGTTCAATATTTGCAAACTATAAATGTAGTTTGATCGAACTGACAGACTGAACTTCCCAATTTTCTACCCTAGACAGGTTCATTCTCAAAAACATATTAGAGAACACAGAAGTACTCCTGGCCCTTGATTGAGCAAATACATTCAGTATCATAGAGCAAAAAGTGTTCTTTTCTTTCGCAAAGTTTTTCAAGTACTACGTACTACGTATGCCAAATACACAAAACGAGAGGGATTGTGGGAAAAAAACTATTTATCTTATGTATCCATCGTACATGCCAATGGTTCGGCAAATGAAAAAGTCTACGTAAAAATCGAAGCCAATGTTTTTTAGTTGCGAATAGAACGCGAGAATCGACCCAGATACATAAGTGTCACATGTAACGCGCAAACTTTACATGTTTTGAACTCAATTATTAGGTTCAGGGCATGTAAAGTTATACGTTTGAACTTGGCTTACATTAAACAAAACTGTGTCGAATAAGGAGTTGAAAGATATATAAAACTTCATTCAATGGGTTAGCATATAATACGCACGAGTATTTTTCGAGTAATGACTAAGGTGTCTTTCCGAGTCACGTAGGGACGAGGGAAAATGTTCGCTCGTATTGTTTGCTCCGCTAGTAAATAAAGGATTTAGGCTTCCAGTTTTCAAAACACTTCCTGCGGCCTTATCTGAGCATCGCATCGATCGCATGATGCGTGTATTAAAGATAAAAATATTCTTGTTCGGTTAAGGTCTTCCAATACCTTGCTAAATTGTAACCCCAGACTTTTTTTTAATCTCCGACCCATTCTAGAATAACACGACAAGTACTCATAATGATCTCCTTGGACCTCCCGAGTCTGAACGAAGTTTTGAAGAAAAGGTAAGTCATCATAAGTTACAACAAGAAATAGTCCATGACAGTTCAGTAATTCAGTTCGTTTTCAGTTAAACGTGTGGCCTAGAAGATGGAATGGAAGCAAGTAGTTTGAATGAAATCTCTTTTCACGTGTTCATAAGTAATGCTGTTCTCAGATTTGACACACTGATGTGATGGTCTGGATGGGGTTAACTGACAACTGAAAAACGGCCAAATTTTTAACTGACAACCGGAAAAACCGCTGAAAAACTAACTGACAATTGACATTTGTGGTGGGCTTTTACTGACAACTGACAAAAGCCCGGATCGCCCTAAATATCCTAAAAACTTGATGTATAATAAGGACAGTTGATTTTTTTTTTGTTCAGTGAAAGTACATTTTCCATTACATATCAGTAGGAGTACGCCAGAGTGTCCTATTTCGTTAATAATTACTGCATGCCATCCACATCAAGGTCAAGTGTCACATATCAGTTATATGATCTTTGATACCTAACTCGATCGTCAACATACGCGAAGGCCGTGAATGTTGGTATTTTAAGAGCTGATGTAAGCTTCTACCGAATTGAGTCGGAAACGGCATTTGAATGTCACAGAAGCCGCATTCCTATCAAAGATGTTAAAACCGAACTGGCGCTGAAAAAGCACCTTACTTCGTTCCTTAGTCTAAAGGAGTTGTCTAGTAAATATGGCCTCGGAGATTTTTATGTGAAACTTTATCACATGGCTCGGAAATCAGGCGGCAAAGTGAAATAATTTTGCGCTAACTACGGACGAGCAATGGAATTTGGAGCTTCCAACCATGCTGACTGGAACAGATAGCGAATTAAACAGTCTGTATTAGAGTGGTTTGGTATTTGGTATTGGTATAAATATATCAGTTAANACAAGATATGCAAGGAATGCCGGATCTGGTAAAGACTCGAAATATTAATTCAATCCGCCGATCACCTAGTTGCATGTACCTGTTTCATAGTTACCTCAAAACAGTATCCAGAGCCTTCATTGGTAGGGTAAAATATGTCGTCACGAGCTGATGAGCAGTTGTTGTCGTAGGAAATCAATACCACTAGACTCAACCATCAGCTTTAAGCTGCAAAGTGTAAAGCTTTTTTTAAGACCTTTTCATGTATTTTTTTTCTATCACACATCGGAAGACCTTTAAGATAAATCCCAATTTAAACTCTGACAGTTGCTACTAGGGAGCTTAAAAATGATTTTTTTTAAAATTCACAACATTGAAACATCGTAAAAGATTTCTAGTTCACCTCTTTAGTAATTATTTTTGCATAAGCGTCCAAACTACTGAAAACTGACGGTTACTTTTTTTCTTCCTTATTGCTTGAAATTTTATGATGTTCCTCCCCGCTCTCAAAGACTAAGGTAAACCCATTTCAAACTCAGTCGGTTGCTACGAGTGAGCTAAAGAATGACTTTTACTTAAATAAACCACGAAAAAACACTGCAAAAGATTTCTAGTTCTCTTCTCTGGTAATTGATTTGGCAGTAGTGTCCAAATTAATGAAAAGCATTGGTAATAGTTTTGTCTTCATTCCTACTTTATATTTTATTATGCTCCTTCCCCCATAACAAAGACTGATTTACTCATGTTAGATGAATCTGTTGGGACACGAGCATGAAAAACTAGTTAGAGAACATCTTAAAACTAGTTAGAGAACATCTTATCGAGGCTTAGTATAAATCATTCCGCGTATAATTAGCAGAAATAAACAAGTTTTCTTTGTTTTTTTATTCTGTTTGGCTTCTAGTTGATTAGACAAATATTTAGTGAATACTTATTAATTAACTCAGCCTGGCATTTACATATCTCAAACGTACGGTTAAGAATGACGACTTGTTTTCATTATATTTTGTTGTAGAACGTAGACGCGTTAAGTGCGGACACATTTGACCTCTCGAATGTCTGTTGTAAACTTCTGGCGAAAGATTTGTTTAAGACCTGGATCGGTTGAAACTTTGATACTTGAAGTCTTCGACATGTTATCTCAATATTTCCTCGTATTTCTCTTCCAGGAGTTAAATGAACTCAGTTCTCAGGACCAAGTGTTGGATCCATCTGCAAGGCCTAAATACAGATTGCCGGATCTGTTTCCTAGGTCTTTGAGGGGCGAGACACAGCTAAGGCGACAAGAAATGCAAGGAATACCGAATCTGGTAAAGACTCCAAATATTAAGTCAATCCTCAGGTCACCTAGTTGCATGGACTGGTTTCATAGTAATCTCAAAATTGTTTTCTTCTCAGAACTGTCATTGGTAGGGTAAAATACCTTGTCATGTGCAATGTTGTCTTAGGAAATTAATAGCATTAGACTCAACCAGCAACTTTGTGCTGCAAAGTCTAAAGCTGTATATAAATTTTTTTTTTCGTGTATCGTTCCCTTCACACTTTGGTAGAACTCAGTTGAAGACAGTCCACGTTACAAACTCACTTACTGCTTTAGTGTTCCTCAGTAGTGCACTGCACATCCTGTGCTGCGAATCAAAATCACAGACGAATAAGCGCGTGCATTCTGAAAACACGGTATTGATTTTAATCTATGGACCAGGTAAAGAGGAGAAATGGTCTGAAGCTCCTGAACGAATACGGTGACCTAAATTTTTAATTGCATAATTTTGGTGAAAAAATTATCCCCTATAAATTGAAGAAATTACAAAAAATCAACCGAAGGAAAAAATGATATAGCAGGAAGCCTGTTACTGGAGGATGCAACCTATGAACTGGAAGGCAACGACCCGAGGGACGTTTTTGAGTTGATCTCGTTAAAACTGCTGATTTTCCCGCAAATTGAACATCAAGTTATTTCCTGCAAGTGTTACTTTAAAAATCTTTGCTACCAGCTAACGCAAAATGTACCAAGAACCGATGAAATGACGTGCGTGATTAGAATAAGTAATGACATGATTTCGAGTGCAATTTGATGCAAATAAGCACTTT